ACAAATCCACCTAAAGGAAAAGCTCTAATAGAATACTCTACATTGTTTGCATTGAATTTAGCTAGAATAGGACCAAACCCAACTGCAAACTTACTATTATTAGAATAGGCCCAATGAAAGTGGAAGTGTTGGCCGGAGAGTGCAGGAGGCGAGTGCCCCAAGCACTGCTCTTTCCTGCTGTGTCAGTAAGATTATTAGCCTAAAGATAGTCATTTGGTGGATTTCCATACCAAAACTCATCACTCTCATGGAATGACACATACACCTCTAACACAGCCCTAAACACATTTTGACGAATTTTGATTTCCTTCCCCTCAGTATCTGTGGAATTCTCAATTTCAAACCACAACCCATCATTCAATGGAAAACTCCGTGCAATGGGTAAGATTAAATCAGCCCTCGAGCCATACCCAGATGCCAAGTTCTCTAAATTGCTCTCAAAGTCATTGAATTTCTTCTCAGCAGGGTAATAGTAAACAGTTATGTCCACATGATAAACGTCAGTATAAGTTCGATCAACTAAATTACCCAAATAAACAGCAAGACTTTGTGTCTCATTCTTAACAAGCAAAGAGTAATACCTTGTTATGTCCTTCTTGACACTCCACACAATCCCAGTAGCTCTTGGCTCTGCAGAGCAGCTCCTAAGAAGCTCGACCCCATCTAGCCAGATCCCGAAAATCGATCAAATTGCCTTCCTTTGCAGGTGGCATTCCATTCAAGGACAATTTTCGAGAAATCGTGAGACGGGCAGTGACAAGGTGGGGTGCAGTTTGCTAGAACTGGGGGTTTCCCATATGTATAGCCGAAATCATGGTGGAGAATGGGATAGACGCAAGGTTGGGTCTTGTGAAGTCTGATGGGTTTGGTGACTTCGAAGTAGGTGGTTGGTGGGATGTAGTGGTGGAGGAAAGGAGAGTTGATTTGAGGAGGGTTTTAGATTTGTGGAGGTTGGCAGTGGCGGAGAGAGGGAGGAGTAGGAGAAAGAGAAAAAGAGGGTGGAAAGTGGAAGCCATGGATGCTGGTTGGGATTTCCGGCGGGGGTATGTTGTGCATTTGCATGGAGTGTGGACATTCCGAGGCAAGTCTAGAGTTGTTGGAGTTATGGTGCATTTATGGTCTTTTACTCTTTAGTACTACCTCCGCCTCAAGTTAATTGTTTGTAAAATTTTTTATAGGCAATTGTAAGTAATCTTTTTTATGTAATATATGACTTGTAATTACATTTTTTTCACTTTGCACTTAATGTTTTGGAATAATTTTGTTTGTAGTTATATATATAATGTGCTTAATTTAAAATTTGTTATTTATATGAGGTATTATTATTATTTATGTGATTTATTTTGCTTACAAGTCTTTCTTTAATTTTCCTTTTTTTTGTATTTAATTTTTCTTTTATTTTTGAAAATTATTATCATTATATAAATATTACATATAATAAATATATATAATTTAAATTATATAAATATAATTTAACAAGTCATTTAATTAAATTAATTAAAAAAATTAAACAAACAATT